GATAGAGGACTCGTCTTTGTATCTGTGCCAATATAGCGTTTGTGACAGCATGGGCAGCACCATTGAGGCTATCTTTATTTTAAAGTAGTACATTTTCTTCTTCTGCTTTTGACTTATTGCTCCCAACTCATAGGAATCCCCACCCAGTTGAGTACTTTAAAATGGTGCAAGCCCTCAATGGCAATGTCCATTCTAATATGGGCTATAGGCTATCCATGATGAGTCCTCTATCTATTTCTATGACAACAGGCACAACTCTGATATATACAGGGGGGAGAACAAGTATTTGATACACTGCCGATTTTGCAGGTTTTCCTACTTACAAAGCATGTAGAGGTCTGTAATTTTTATCATAGGTACACTTCAAAATTACAGACCTCTACATGCTTTGTAAGTAGGAAAACCTGCAAAATCGGCAGTGTATCAAATACTTGTTCTCTCCACTGTATATATTTTTTAAGTTGCCGAAATGCCACGTGCGTCCAGTTATATCAGTGCATTTGCAGCAACCTAACCATTACGAAACGTCTATTCGATCAAATAAGACTAATTTATCAAATTAGCAATTCCATTTTTTGTTGACCTAATTCGACACTATCATTGACCTCCATACAAAAACTTTTTTCATGGACAGATTTTGGGCAGAGTAAAACCTCTTGCTTCACCTCTTCCTCCCTGTGTGGTAGGAGAGGCTACCCAGGGTCAGAGGGGGCTATCTGACAAAGGGAGGACTCATCATAAACAGGAAAATCCAACCCGTGCCCAGCACTGTCCCGCCCAATGGTATGTATGTACATTTGTAACCAATCACTCAATAAATGAAAAGGTCATTGAATGAAAGGTCAAACCTTGTTTGACATTTATTTTTATTTTTATTTTGGCAATTTCACAGGTCACCAAGTATCCTACACCTACAAAATATTCTAAGTGTGAAGTGATTCTCCATGTGGAGCCTTTTTGGGGACCTATGCAAAATGTACTTGGGCCACCTCCCCCACCCCCATTTTAGTGGACCCCTTTTTGATGGAGGAGAGGAATAAAGGTTTTAGAGTTAATTTCCTGCAATTGTACACATTTTGCCATGGAGCGCATATAGGATATTGCAATTTTATAGCGAATTTCATGTAATTCAAAAACATTTTAATGCCATTGGGCAGAGAGAAAAATGTCCAGTTTTACAGCAGATTTCCTGCAATTCTACACATTTTGCGATGACTTATGCCATGTTAATATGATATCTGAGTGAGAGTGACTAACAAAATCAATGGGGGCCCCCTGGAGGTCAGGGCCCCTGGGCACGTGCCTTTCGTGCCCGGTTGATAATTTGACCATGTTTAGATAGCTGGCTAGACTAACTTACTAATCTAAAATGTTTTAGCTGACATGGGCTAATTGAGTGAATGTCAGTGACTGACAACAGGAGAAAAACTCCAAATGTCGAAATTGAACCTTGTGTATTCTACTATTCTAACTCTCAACAGTAAGTTGAGACCCCAACTGAGTTCCTAAAAAATATAAATAAATAAATATATATATTACACTGAGTATACCAAACATTAGGAACACCTTCCTAATATTGAGTTGACTCCAATGCTTCCCACTGTCAAGATGGCTGGATGTCCTTTCGGTGGTGGACCATTCTTGATACACACGGGAAACTATTGAGCATGAAAAACCCAGCAACGTTGCTGTGCTTGACAAAAACTGGTGCGCCTGGCACCTACTACCATACCCCGTTCAAAGGCACTTAAATTTTTTGTCTTGCCCATTCACCCTCTGAATGGCACACGTACACAATCCATGTCTCAATTGTCTCAAAGCTTAACAATCCTTCTTTAACCTGTCTCCTCCTCTTCATCTACACTGATTTGAAGTGAATTTAACAAGTGACATCCATAAGGGATCATAACTTTCACCTGGATTCACCTGGTCAGTCTTTGTCATGGAAAGAGCAAGTGTTCTTAATGTTTTGTATACTCAGTGTATGTGTATATGAACATCTCATTCCAAAATCATGGGCATTAATATGGAGGTGGTCCCCCCCCCCCCCCCCTTTTGCTGCTATATCAGCCTCCACTCTTCTGGGAAGGCTTTCCACTAGATGTTGGAACATCGCTGCGGGGACTTGCTTCCATTCAGCAACAAGAGCATTAGTGAGGTCGGGCACTGATGTTGGGCGATTAGGCCTGGCTCGCAGTCGGCGTTCCAATTCATCCCAAAGGTGTTCGATGGGGTTGAGGTCAGGGCTCTGTGCAGGCTAGTCAAGTTCTTCCACACTGATCTTGACAAACCATTTCTGTATGGACCTCGCTTTGTGCACGGGGGCATTGTTATGCTGAAACAGGAAAGGGCCTTGCCCAAACTGTTGCCACAAAGTTGGAAGCACAGATTTGTCTAGAATGTCATTGTATGCTGTAGCATTAAGCCCAAACCATGAAAAACAACCCCAGACCATTATTCCTCCTCCACCAAACTTTACAGTTGGCACTATGTATTGGGGCAGGTAGCGTTCTCCTGGCATCCGCAAAACCCTGATTCGTCCATTGGTCTGCCAGATGGTGAAGCGTGATTCATCACTCCAGAGAACGCGTTTCCACTGCTCCAGAGTCCAATGGTGGCGAGCTTTACACCACTCCAGCCGACGCTTGGCTTTGCGCATGGTGATCTTAGGTTTGTGTGCGGCTGCTCGGCCATGGAAACCCATTTCATTAAGCACCCAACAAACAGTTATTGTGCTGACGTTGCTTCCAGCGGCAGTTTGGAACTCAGTAGTGAGTGTTGCATTTTTACGCGTACACGCCTTAGCACTCGGCGGTCCCGTTCTGTGAGCTTGTGTGGCCTACCACTTCGCGGCTGAGCCGTTGTTGCTCCTAGACATTTCCACTTCACAATAACAGCAATTACAGTTGACCGGGGCAGCTCTAGCAGGGCAGACATTTGACAAACTGACTTGTTGGAAAGGTGGCATCCTATGACGGCGCCACGTTGAAAGTCACTGAGCCCTTCAGTAAGGCCATTCTACTGCCAATGTTTGTCTATGGAGATCAAATGGCTGTGTGCTCAATTTTATACACCTGTCAGCAACAAATCCACTGATTTGAAGGGGTGTCCACATACTTTTGTATATATATATTAAGGGGAGTGGGGGGGTCGGGTGCCCCCTATCAACCGGGGGCCCTAAGCGACCACTTATGCCTAGAGCCAGCCCTGATGCAGGTATACTCTACCAGAAATCAACAGACTTTGCATAATCTAGTTGTCCAGCCTTTATTACCAAGTCATCCTACTTGTCATTGAACCATAAACTTACAATTGAATTCCTGTAGTCCATGTGGCTTTTTGATAACTGCTGCATAAAGTAAAAAACAAATAGCTTTATAAAATGTGTTGCTTAATAATTATTGTCCATTCTTTGGTAGGTATAGCAAAGATCGGCCAGTGTTTTGAGTCCTCCATGGTGGCCTCTTCACCCATCTGGAGGAGCTGAACTTTCACAATGACATCATCGTAGAGAAACACAGACCCTGGCGTCAGAGAGACGGCCATGGAATGTTGGACAGTATTGTACAGTGAATTCTCAAGTGATTCCGTGGAGGGGCAGGGAGGGTGGGCACTCCATACCATAGTTGTTTTGACAGGGATTCCGCTCTGAATCAGGGGCCCTTTGCCTTGTGATTCCAGAAAAACACGTTATTCAGAACTGTTTTGGTTAGGAAACACATTTAGGCTAAAGATTGTTGAGTGAAGTCTTCAACAATCTGTCAGTCAAGGAGAAACCCAATGATAGAGCTCTGCAGTAGTTACCCTTAGGCAAAGATCTGGAATCAGCTTATACTCTCCTAAATCCTAACTTTATCCATTACAGAGGAAACAGTTAAACTAACCGTAGATCAGTGTCTGGGGCAACTGCATACTGCTCCAGAGGGTTAGAGTGTGTACAATCCAGTGTGGTTTGGGCAGGTTCTGTGTGGTTTGGTGTGGTTCCATGCTGCATTTAACCAGTTCCATCTCAATATCTCTCCCTCCCTCCATTATCTCTTCTCTACACACAGTCACAACAGTCATACTAGGCCATTACATTTTACACCTCTCATAATGAGTTAGATAAATACTGACAGACAGAGGTCTGGAGTCCCCTGATCGTGACGTGATTATCATCGCTGCGCTGACATCCATAACCTACTACCAAGTCCCCAACGACAGAATGCTCTTGTACCCACTGAAGCAAGGGTCCCTTTGGGGTCATAAAGCCCTAACTCTCCTTGGAGACCTGGGGAACTGACTGTGATCATCGGGACCAGAGAGAGAGAGAGCTAGAGAGAGAAAACAGAACAAACAAATAACAGCGTCTGTCTTTCCTCGTCTATTTGAGCCGCTCCACTCCCACAAGCTTCTGTGGTATGTGTAATGACTCTGCAATTAGTGTCCCTTTGTGTGTTACCGTGTGTGTGTGTGTGCGTGTGTGCATGTGTGTTACTCCTTGACCATTCAGTGCCCACACGAGAGTGTCAACAATGCGGTTTGGCCAGAGAGAGAGACACACACACACACACACCAGTTGAGAAAGAGGGAGGGAAGAAGGGAGGGAGGTAAAATGAAAAGAAAACATATTTCTTTCTCATTGAGGGAGAATAAAACGAGATCCTCACTGCCTGGAGACAGCAGCTGTGCTGATACAATCTCTCTCTCTCTCTGTCTCTCTCTTTTTCTCTCTCACACACATACTGTCTTTCCTCCTTGATTCTAAACGATATCTCCTGTCTCATCTTATTCTTTCTTTTAGTCCCTCTCTATCTCTCTTCCCCATTCTGTCTACCCTTGTCTGGGACTCCACCTCTCCTCTCTTTCTCTCTCCCTCCCATCGTTCCCTCCAGGAGGACCACAGAAATGTACAGTTAGTCTGGGAGTTTTTCTCTGTGTCTGAGTGATAATCAGTGGACTGCCACAAGCCACACACACACACACACACACACACACACACACACACACACACACACACACACACACACACACACACACACACACACACACTCACACACACACACACAGCTGTGTGTGAGTGGCTGTAGCTAGACTTTCATTGCTAGTTATACATCAAGATGACATTGCTATGATCTATCTTGAATGTGTTATCATAATAACTACATGTCAACACCCAGCTATAAACTGCTACCATTGGAATAGTGTTTAAAAATCAGTGTGCATTTGTTTAAACAGTCTCAGCCCCTGTACGTTGCTACACTTATAAGCTCAATATGTGAAGCTCTATGGACATTTTCCTGACCATGATCAGTCAATACTGGACATGTGAGCTTTAAGTGTATGAGATGGTCACGTGATGTCTGTCTGAGTGTCCCATTATCACAGGTGTCCCTGAGTGTCTGGTCATGTGATCAGTGATGCAGCTGCCATGATGGGTAGAACCGAACCGTGAAAAGATCCAAGTGGGTTTCGTAACGACTCATATCCAGTCTACCCATTCTGACTGTATGGTGGCGTTGGTCAGGTTTTTGTGCGGTCCTGTTCGTTGAGCAGGAGGTTGTTGAGGTTGATGACTGTGTTGGCGAAGTCAGTCAGTTCCACAAAGTCAGAGGTGATGATGTTAACCCCGTTAACACCAGGTTTCTGGGTCTCAACCCACGTTAATATGATGGGAAGGTTCCTGAGAGGAGTAGAAGGAGGGGAAGAGGGGGAAGATGATGTGGGGAGGAAGGGGGAGTGGAAGAGAGAAAAGAAGGAGAAATGAAGGTGAGTGAGTTAGAGAGTGTAAGAACTGTTGTTTCTGAGACAGAGGTTCAGTAGAGGCTGAGCTCAGACTATAGTTATTGTATCCAAAGCATTGTTTAAGTTTGGAGCTCTCATTGTTTTAGTTATGGGCGCATGGCAGCACACACACACACACCCAACGGCTAGGGTCGTATCAGTGATAGAGCCCTTAACCCTCCACTAAGCCCTTGCAGCCGTCGGGACAAAACCAGGAAGTGGGAATGTTTATCCTGTGATAATAAGCCATCTTGTTTCCGCGGATACTAAAAATTAGGCCACTTCCTCCCAGCCCGCCGTCTCCACGGAATGTCCGTTTCAGAGTCGCTCCTAGACACTCATCTATGGTCAGTTTTCTGTATTCTTCTCTTAATGGTTAAGGTGAGGATTTATGGAGAGTAAACCAATCCTAGATCTGTACCTAAGGGCAACTACCTGGAGTGTCAAACCAACCCTTACCCTTACAGTTTACCTTCCCCAAATCCTACCTTTAAGCATTAGGGGGAGACGCCAAACTGATCAAACTGACCTTAGATCAGTCAGTGTCTAGGGTCTCTACCCTTCTGGGAGTCTGACCTACTGATAAGCTGACAAGACTGACTGTGTATACCGCCCTCTGCTGGCTGCTCTCAGAATACATACTATAGGCTCAGTGCACACACAAACACTAATAACACACACACCTCTCGACCAGGTAGTTGCGTAGCCCCCTGACCAGGCCCTTGACAATGGTCTTGACTCTGGGGGTGAGGATGGCCTGAGTCACATGGAAGGACCCCTTCTTAGCCCTCTCACCTAGTGTCGTCTCCAGGAACTAGAATAAAATAGTAATCATCATCATCATCATCAGTTGGATTTATATAGTATTTTAAATTAGATTTATCACCTCATCTCATCCACTACGAAACACACACACACAGACTGACCTGAAAGAGTTTGGTGGTGTCTGTAGTGTTAGCCCAAGGAGCTGGACACTTGTTGCCTGGCCATATCAATGGACAGCCCTCAGCTGACGGGTGGTGGTAGAATACTATGACCTGGGACACACAAGACTGAGACTCACTCTCAGAACATTTCGTTTTACACTTTAACCCCTAATCTGTCTATCTGCTAACTCATAATTATGACTCACTTATTGTACCGGTCTCCTCGCCTGTCTGATTACTACACATCTGTCACCTGCCAGGTAATCTGGCTCTAGAATCTAGATTAGGGTCACAGAAGATAGAAACTCACCTGACCACATCTCTAAATGAGAAACATTTCTGGAGAAAAACAAGCACACGCACGCAGACACACACACACACAAGAACAAAGGCGGAGGGTTCTGCTTTATGAGCAATAACAAGTGGTGCGACGGGAAAACGTACAGGAATTTACGAGCTTTTGCTCTCCCGACTTGGAATACTTGGTCATCAAATGATGCCTTTTTTACCTTCAGAGAGAGTTCTCAGGGATTATCGCCACGGTTGTGTACATCCAGCCCCAAGACGACACCAAAAATGCTCTCAAAGATATTCATTGGACCCTGGACAAGCTGGAGACCGCGTACCTGGAGGCAGCGTTAATTGTCGCGGGGGACTTTAAGAAAAGTAAGTTGAGAACCGTGCTCCTGAATTAATAGAAACACATTGACTGTCCAGAGATTCTATGCTGGACCACTGCTGACGCCTTCTTCACAACAATTGAACCTCTCTCCTTGAAGTTGTTGATGATCCGATAAATGGTTGATTTAGGTGCAATCTTACTAGCAGCAATATCCTTGCCTGTAAAGGCCTTTTTGTGCAAAGCAATGATGACGGCACGTGTTTCCTTGCAGGTAACCATGGTTAACAGAGGAAGAACAATGATTTCAAGCACCACCCTCCTTTTAAAGCTTCCAGTCTGTTATTCTAACTCAATCAGCATGACAGAGTGATCTCCAGCCTTGTCCTCGTCAACACTCTCACCTATGTTAATGAGAGAATCACTGACATGATGGCAGCTGGTCCTTTTGTGGCAGGGCTGAAATGCAGTGGAAATGTTTTTTGGGGGATTAAGTTCATTTTCATGGCAAAGAGGGACTTTGCAATTAATTGCAATTCATCTGATCACTCTTCATGACATTCTGGAGTATATGCAAATTGCCATCATCAAAACTGAGGCAGCAGACTTTGTGAAAATTAGTATTTGTGCCATTCTCAAAACTTTTGACCACAACTGTAGAGACTCAGAGATAGAAAATGATATATCATACACTACAGCTGAGGAACAATGGGAAAGTAATTCTGCTTTGAAAGTTGATCAACTTGTAACCCCACTTTTGAGAAAATGGTCCTTGAATGTTGGTACCTACTGGAGAGCTCTTTGTCTACACCCATTCAGCATCGTTCACACCCTCTTAAGCTTAGCCCCAGCCATCTCGTTAAGAATTCACATGTGAGGCCATGTGCTAAACAGTGAGTACAGTAGTGTACTAAACAACCAAAGACTAAAGGCTGGTTTATACTACGTCTATCGACATGTCTCTATACAGTTGTCGCAGTGACATCATGAACATTCTATTGTCGTCCAACATTAAACTTGTTGTTGTCGTTATGAAAAATTATAAACACAAAAACGACAGCAGCCTGGTGGTCCAAAATAGCATAACTGGTGTATTCGTTTAAAAATTAATTTACTCTATGTCAATCTAGCAAACCAGGCAACTAAAAGCAACTTTCTAAACAATGTTTTGGTTCGTTTCTAGCTTGTTAGCTAGCTAGCTAACGTTAAGTTAGCTGGCCAGCCAGTTCAAATAATGACCATATCAAATAGCTGACAACGTCTTAACTTTAGCTAATTTGTATTCACTATTAAAGGAAAATAAACTTACAACAAGATCATTATTTACAAGTTAATGGCGAGCTAATTACAGAAAATACCTTACGGTTGTGAGTGTGACAAGATAAAAGCAGGGCATTCTACCGGAGAATTTTAGAACTTGGACACCGTCATGTTGGCCTAACTTTATATCCTAATTTGACTTTGGTGCAGGTCATGTTGTTCTTCACATTACCGTCTCTGGTAAACACACACTATATCAAATAAAATCTAAGTTTATTTGTCACATGCACAGGATACAGAAGGTGTAAACGGTACAGTGAAATGGTTACTTGCATAGTGGAGTCTTTTGTTTAGACATGTAGCTAGCTAGATAGCTAAACAATGAACCATAATCCCAACTCATAACGTTACTACGCTGCATGAATCTACAGGTAGCTAAAGCTAACCAACTACACTGACCAAAAATATAAACAAAACATGTAAAGTGCTGGTCCCATATTTCATGAGCTGAAATAAAAGATCCCAGAAATTTTCCATACGCACAAAAAGCTTATTTCTCTCAAATGTTGTGCACAAATTTGTTTATATCACAGTTAGTGAACATGTTATCCTTTGTCAAGATAATCCATCCACCTGACAGGTGTGGCATGTCAAGAAGCTGATAAACAGCATGATCATTACACAGGTGCACCTTGTGCTGGGGACAATAAAAGGCCACTCTAAAATGTGCCGTTTTGTCACACAACACAATGCCACAGATGTCTCAAGTTTTGAGGGAGCGTGTAATTGGCATGCTGACTGCAGGAATGTGCACTAGAGCTGTTTCCAAAGAATGTAATGTTAATTTCTTGACCATAAGCCATCTCCAACGTCGGTTTAGAGAATTTGGCAGTACGTCCAACCGGCCTCACAACCGCAGACCACGTGTAACCACTCCAGCCCAGGACCTCCACATCCGGCTTCTTCACCTGTGGGATCGTCAGAGGGGGGAGGGGGGAGGGGGTGCTGAGGAGGATTGCTGTCTGTAATAAAGTCCTTTTGTGGGGAAAATCTCATTCTGATTGGCTGGGCCTGGCTCTACAGTGGGCAGTGGGTGGACCTGGCTCCCAAGTGGGTGGGCCTATGCCCTCCCAGGCCTACCCATGGCTGCGCCCCTCCCCAGTCATGTGAAATCCATAGATTCTCCCTCTCTGTCACAGATGCCATGGTTGCCCTTAGTTTGAAGATGTAATCTGGAAACAGGTGTTTTATACAACAGACTTCTTTGTTCTCTTTTCGACGACCTCTGCATTTACAATCAAATGCCAGAATTTTCTCCATCTCCTTAGCTATCATACTCTACTTCCACCGGGCATTCCACTGATTTCAAAACTCGATCCTCCAGCAATTGGAGAGCCTTAGCAACACTTTTGCAGTGCTTCGTGAAATCTTTTAAAAATGAGAAAGGATTACCTACACATGCTGCAGCTCATGTTATAGACAGAAGCGTGCTACATAGCAGACCAATCTGAACTCCTCTCTCGGCATGTCCACCCCATCCATTATCTCAGCCAAAATCTCAGTTTTCCGTGGCTAAACCAACTAGGCTCGTTATTTAACAATTGTATTCGTATTTACAGATGGCATCCAATTTAGTTATTAAGGCACATGAAAGTTCACATGTTCCTGAAGGCATTTCTGCCAAAAAACACATTGATTTTAAAAATGGTTTTACGTTGAAATGCCTCTCCTGTGAAGTAGTGATGTGTGACATACGCCTAGTTACCTGCAACGAGTCACATTTATCATGCTGAATAGCCACCACTACTCCTACTCCTCCACCTCTCCCCCCCCCCCCCCCCCCCCCCCCCAGCCCACACACACAAAGTGGGATACAGACACCAACACTACTCTTTCCCAACAACACGCTCAAACACCAAAGCACACAGATCAAGTATAGTCACTGTAACATACTCCAGTCCACACACACCAACTGCCTCCTGACTTAATCTTCTGTCATCCACTAAGACTCACACTGGCAGCTTACAGACAGAAATAACTGTGCGTGTGAGAGAGAGAGAAAGAGAGAGAATCAATGTCTGTGAGATGAGATCCCTGATTGACAGGTTGAAATAGCTGCAGCAGCATTTAGTAAGCAATCCACTTTAGCTTCTACTGAAATCCTGACTCCGCTAATTCTCTAAGGTGTCGCACACACTCAACTTATAGATGACTGGGTCTTACTAGCAGAGGTTCAATTAGATCTGTAAGTGGAGGACGTGGAGGAGTTTTCAGAAATGAACTCCACACTTTCTGACCTCACCCTGTCTGTCTCACCTGGTAGTTGTTCTTCCAGAGGTAGTCCAGGGTGATATCCTCGACAACGCTGATCTTGCAGAGTTTACTTCCGAACACTTCCTGGAGCATGTTGATGAGGTAGGCGTGATGCTCCATCCCCATGGCATAGTGATGGTTAAAGTCCAGGAACACCATCTCCTTACCATGGGCGTCCAGGAAAGAGTTAATGTCCAACAGACCGTCACGCACCTGAGAGAGAGAGAGCGAGAAAGAGAGAGAGAGGGGGAGAGGGAGATAAGTCAATAGCAGGAGCCGACATTTACTAGGTTTTTTGTTGTTGTAGGTTTTCATATAATAACATGTTTATTGATCTTCTAGGTGTCTGGGTATGGGGTCAGTACACCCACCTTGTGTCCGAACAGGCCATGGATGAAGTAGATCTCAGTACCAGACTCTCTAGGTTTGGATGACACACGCAGGTCAAAGTAACGAATCCCTGCATCCAGCTGCTCCTTAAACGTCAGGTTCTGGTGGTGATAAAAGTCATATATTGACAAAGACTGAGGATCCCATCTTTTCATGAGAGTATTGGTTAATCATCTGAAGCAGTTGAACCCTCACCTGTGTCATGGACCACTTCTTCATGACTTTCTTGGAAACGAAACGGAAGGCTGTGGCCAGGTATTTGACTATGGCCTTCTGGTCAGGACCCACCGGGGCCTTCTCATCTACCCAGAAACTAAACGAGTCATGGGAACCTGAGAGAGAGGGATGAGGAGGGGAGAGAGGGAGGAAGATGGGAGAGAGGGAGGGGAGGGAAAGAGACAGATCAAGTGAGATAGAGAAATATATGCCTTTTCACTCTGGAAAAGGAAAGTGAAGGTCCTTCTGTCGATCTTATGAGTAGGCTGACCATCTACTCTTGTGCACTCTCTCTCCCTCTCTCCCTCTCTCTCTCTCCCTCAAACACACAAACTCAGGTCACATCCAGGTAATACAGATTAACACCAAGAACCCTCTCTGAATCCATTAGGCTAGCCTTGCTACGTTGTAAACAAAACAAACACATGCACGCCACATCAGTCTCACACACACGTCACACGGCAATTCAGTCACACCCCAGTTCCCCAGACCCACAGGTGCAACATCAGTCTTTTCCTCTCTAGCCCAACAGTAGCCTAAGCTGTTCTCAGACAGAGGTGAAACTTCATTTAGCTAAAGTGTGGCTTTGCTGTTAAAACCATATAACCCCAGATAGACTTTACCAGTGGGAGGTCATAAACCAAGTCAGAGCCAACAGTCATCATTATACGCCTCATGTCGACCGACATATGATACCTCTACAACACACACATGTAAAGTGCCTTGAGAAATTATTCACACCCCTTGACTTTTTCCACATTTTGATGTGTTAGATCCTGAATTAAAAATTGATTAAATTGATTTTTGTGTCTCTGGCCCACACCCATAATTGTCACGCCCTGGTTCTGGGGACTCTTAAATGTTGAGCCAGGGTGTGGATTTGCTTTGTTTAGTTTTTCTATGTTTTCGTTCTAGATCGTTTAGATCTATGTTGGCCAGGGTGGTTCCCAATCAGAGGCAGCTGTAGCTCGTTGTCTCTGATTGGGGCCCATACTTAGGCAGCCTGTGTTGCACTAGTATTTGTGGGATCTTGTTCCGTTTGGTTTGTTGTGAATAACCTAGGACTTCACGTATCGTTTGTTTGTTGTTTTTGTTAGTGTAAGTACAATTAAAGTATGTACGCTTATCACGCTGCGCCTTGGTCCATGTCTTCAGTCGACGATCGTGACAATAATGTCAAAGTGGAATTATGTTTTAGGAAATGTTTACAAATTTATAAAAAATGAAAGACTTAAATGTCTTGAGTCAATAAGTATTCAACCCCTTTGTTATTGGCAAGCCTAAATAAGTTCAGGAGTAAATATTTGCTTAACAAGTCACATAATAAGTTGCATGGACTCACTGTGTGCAATAATAGTGTTTAACATGATTTTTGAATGACTACCTCATCTCTGTACCCAACACATACAATTATCTGTAAGGTCTCTCAGTCGAGCAGTGAATTTCATTATATCACAAATACCAGGCAAAATCCTAGAGGAAAACCTGGTTCAGTCTGCTTTCCAACAGACACTGGGAGACAAATTCACCTTTCAACAGGACAATAACCTAAAACACAAGGCCACATATACACTGGAGTTGCTTACCAAGAAGACAATGAATGTTCCTTAGTGTTCTAGTTACAGTTTTGAAAATCTATGGCAAGACTGTCTAGTATTGATCAACAACCAACTTGATAGAACTTGAAGAATCTTTAAAATAATAATGTGCAGATTTGTACAATTCAGGTGTGCAAAGCTCTTAGAGACTTACCCAGAAAGACTCACAGCTGTAATCGCAGCCAACGGTGATTTTCCCCCCAGTATTTTGTGTAGATCATTGACAAAAAAGGACAATTCAATCAATTTTAATCCAACTTTGTAACACAACAAAATGTGGAAAACGTCAAGGGGTGTGAATACTTTCTGAAGGCACTGTAAATAAAAAATTAATTTTGTATTTACATAACACACACACGCTTACCGGGCACTGCAAGGTGCTTCAGGGGCATAGCTGTGAGCTTGGGGGAGAGTGAGCTCATCCAGTTGGCGTTGGAGGCACCAATACCCGTGGGCCGCGTCTTCATGGCTCCTATCTGATCTCACGCCCCCCCCCTGGTAAAAACATGAACCGTCAAATCTGGTATACCTGCTGCCGGTGTATCGCCAGTATCCTCGCCACCTCCATGAGGCTCACAGTAAAATAAATCATCCTGAGGTGAGGAGAAAGAGTGCCTTTCCTGCCTCCTCGAGCCACCTGTGTATCTACCTGTCTCCCTGCTCTGCACTAGTGGTGTGGAGACCACCAGGGCAGCCGAAGTGCCTCCAACGGGCTAATGACATTGACTAATCTTCTTAGACCGAAATTACACTCGTTATCCCCCCTCCCTCCTTCCCTTACTCCCTGCGTGCAGGTTTAAACCGGTAGGGCTTCCCTCGAGGCGTGCTGTGGATTAGCCTACTCAGGCTCACCCTCCTCACCACCGGAAACAGTGACAGATGGACAGCGTCTGGGTGGGGGGGGGTCTCTGTCCATCCAGGGCAGGGGATAGAGAGGGGTGAAATCTTAAATGGCCATAAAAATGCTTGAGTGACCATCTATCATTAAAGTGACAAAATATCACTGCAGAATATATTGTATGTGACTGGGGAGAGTGGGAGAAGGGTGGCAGTAGGAGTGGGCCTAATAGCCTACACCAGTGACCTTGTGGTTCCATGACAAGCACAAAGCCCTGCCTGTACAACTGGTCCACAACATAGTGCACATAGTCTACTATGAAGTTGCATTTATTACTGCTAAATATTTTAGCTTAGAACAGGGGTCGGCAACAGGCGGAGCGCGGGCAAAAAACGGCCCACGAGTGATATTTTTTTGCCCCCCCCCAGTTTATTTTTTGAAATAAAAGGGATGTTAGTTTTTGGTAAAAAAATTTAAATAACAAAAAACACCAGGAATCAGCTAAACAAAATCATTTTGGAAATCTGTTCCCAAGTATTCCCACCAACAACAAAAAAATATACATATCCCCAGTGGCGGCTCCTGAAAAAATTCTCAGGGGGGGCAATTTTTCTGATGATTTAGGTGACCTACACACATTTTAAAAAAGATATGTCCAGCAACAACATGAAGACAGGGGCAGCATATAAGTCAATACCAGAAGCATTTATTGACTGATCTCAAAAGTGTTGGCTTACCAGGGTTGGTGGAGCCCTCAGTTTCATCTTTGCCTCGCAAAGCTAACTCAAACACTCCGCAAAACTTCACACACTGGATTAGCCGGCTGAGGATGTGGCGGTTCTTGCTAATGTCGTAGTAAATATATTTGTTATAGTGAATATGGAATATGATATGTTGAGTAAAATGTTGTGCTAAGATCTATTTAGGTCAGGAGCTGGTTATAAGTTCTGTTCCTATCCAATAACAATGGACAAAAGGGTCCTATCTTGTCAGCCTTGTCAGTTTCAGTTCTCCAGTAAACTTGTGATTATCAACACTAACCTCATCGTTGTGGCGGCGGACAGCTAGCCTGTATCCCTCATCCAGTTGAGTGGGAATGTTCACTCTCCCCAAAGCAGACAATCTCAAACAGCTATCCATGTGGGTCTTTGACAGCTCATGTTTCTTAATCTTTCCTGAAAGATGGTGCATGTCCGTTACACACCAGTCGCTGTCCAAGCGGTGCTGTCTGCCGTGCCGCCTTCAGGGTGAAAGAGTAAGCAGAGGGTAGCAGAAGACTGCATTAGCTACATCGCAGCCTGCTAGCCAGGTTTTTCGTTCATACCAATTTTTGGAAAATCCTCGGGTGTAGGACTTCCCCCCTTTAGTAGAAACCTGTTGAATTATTAAATTTGGTCTGGGAGGTCCTAATTGTTTCGTTGCCAATTTATCTTCATTTGTTCGCCGACAAAAAGGAACTTCTTTCAAAGACACAATCGAGTTGCACTGAAGCCTAGCCATTTTGATAGTAGTAGTGAATTGATTGACGCTCACGCTGCTACCCGCTCTTTTCTTAGTTACGTTCATGGTTATGTTACGTATGACGAAAGCGCGTAAGTGCAAGCCCTCAGAAACCCATAGAGATTGTATTGAAAGCTCTGATATTTGAAAAAAATAGATTTTACATGGGAGTCTATGACAGACTTCTGGGCGATTTTCAACCTGACTGAAATCGCCCCAAAAGGGGGGGGGGGGGGGGGGGGGCATTTGAAGCACGACTTTAGCCTGATTGGACATTTAGTGGCACTGTGGCAGATCAGACGTCTAGATTACAACACTGATAACTACTGTTGCCGTGATATAATTGATTAGAAAAAAAATCCCTTCCTTTTCCCGTTTGGCAGTGCGTCGCCCATATCGCCCTATTGAACACACCGCCCCTGCATATCCCACTGGGTACAGACATCCCACTGGGTAAAGACGTCAGTTCAAAGTCAAAATTTCAAGCCTCTAACCCTAGGAAGCTTTTTGCCACCTTCTCCTCCCTGCTGAATCCTCCTCCTCCTCCCCCTCCCTCCTCCCTCTCTGTGGATGACTTCGTCAACCATTTTGAAAAGAAGGTTGACAACATCCGATCCTCGTTTTTCGGAATTAAACCTTTTATTCTGTGAAACAAAGACGAGATTCCCTTACATTGATGACTTTTTTCAAATCGAATCAGTGTTCCATGTAGATTTAACATCATCAATGACTCCCAAACAATGACTCGGAAACAACGTTACTTCATCCTGTTTTTGCCCAGTGGGATGTGATTGTGTCTCAATGTAATCAAGGTATGAAATGATTGTGTATTTGAAAATAATCTATTTTTGGGCTTAGTTGTGAACTTGTGGTCAATTTAGATGTGGACGCGCATGAGGAACAGGCAGCCGGAGTTCTACTGCCTATTATGCCTAATGTTATAAACTTGACAGTTATTGGAAGGTTATATTAAGACAATTGTATATATGATATTGTTGTCCATAGGTACATCTGTCAGCACCGCATGCCAGACCGACCTGACCAGCACTGCCATTAGTGAAATGGAGGAAGAACTTATTTCTGTAGCATGGGGTGGCAGAGTAAGTGACAAACAGCTGACAGAACAGAGTGGCTTACTTGACAATCTCGAGCCAGGGGATGTTGTTATGGCAGACTGCGGGTTTAATATAGCAGACAGTGTAGGGTTCTACTGTGCCACTGTAAAGCTCCGTGCATTTACACTAGGCAAGAAACAGTTGTCTGCCTTAGAAATAGAAAACACTAGGAAGATAGTCAGTGTTCAAATATCAGGTGCTACAGAGCCATGTAACTTACCAAGAAACCTGGAGAATCAGTTGCACTGATTGAAAAAAATTGGGGTCATATGTTGTGCGCTCACTAATCTCTCAGACTCCATTGTCCCTTTGTCCCACCCCCACAAAAAGACCGCTATACAATAAATGACAATGTCCAGAACACTGTTATAGTTTTCAAATAAAAAGGTTTATTGTAACTCATACAGGAAGGTCTCCACAATATAAAAAACGTGTCACATATCAGTTTGCAAACAATGTAAAAAAAAAAAAAATCACTGAGTTAATAAAGCTGCATACAAACATGGTCTCTTTTTTGCTGTTAAGTAAGGCAGCTCCAAAATGTTTCAGCCTAGCTCAGTGCTTTCTGTGGTGGTGGGGCAGCCAGCGGAAAATACAGAGCGTAGGGGTTGGTAATGTTCTCTAATTGCGCTGTGATTGGCTCGGTGTTCTGTCACTCATGGGGACACTACGTCACAGCAAAATCTACAGGGAGAGCTCGAAAGTTCAAGCCCCTTGGGTGCTGCCATAGATTTACATTAGAAGTGCCCATCCATGAAGGCTCAAGGTCATTGGCCACAGATAAAATGACGTAAAATCACGTTAGATCTACCATAGCTTTGATTGGACTGATCATGTCAACATCATACTTTCAAAATCTTCGCTAGCAAGCTAGAGAAGCAGTCATCATCATGAATCAAGTTGTCAATCTACTGGCAAATCCTTGTCATTTGAAGAGAAATTATAGATAAAACGAATCGGTGCTCATCGGCCATTGGAGATAAACATTACACAAGTTGGAAATCGCAAAATCAACAATGAGTGGTTTGGAAGGAATCGGTGGCTAACTGCAAGCATTGCAAAGCAATCACTAGCCCGTTATTCAGTGGAGAGTGTGTGTGGTCCAAGTCTGGGTTTAAGGGTCTCTTTTTCAAGCTTAAAAGGATAAACATTCACATTCAACACCATGGGCCAGAAACGGTTGAATACATTGGCCGTGCTGTCAATCCAGCATGACTTCTGCCACTTTCAAAACAACTGGAAACTTCGAACTGGGAAATCTCAGACTTCAGTGAGTTCAAGACAACTGGGAAAATACGTTTTGAACAGTCATCCAACTCAGAATTCCAAGTCGGGAACTCGGGCCTCTTTCTAGAGTTCCGACCTGAAGATCACTGACGTCATGATTCAACCTTGATTTTTTCTGAGTTCCCAGTTGTCTTGAAAGCACCATAAATCCAGAGAATGCCAGACTTTGATGACAAAGTTTGATGACAAAATTTGCCCACAAGAAGGACCACCGTGCCACCTTCCGTTTCAAGTGAGCACAGCACAACAAGGTGAGTCCAAAAATGTATTGTATGCGGCTGCATAAATGATGTAATATGCCAGGAAGATATGTATACTGTAGCTAAGAAAATAATACTAAGTGTATGTTGTGTACTAAGCTGTTAGTAGCCCATGTGCCTCACCCTAATAATTTGGTCCCTTTCCCCCTCATAACTTAGCCAACTGTTCTGACTTGGTGGTGCACATGTAGCCTATTGCCTGTTTTAGAGAAATGTCATCATCGAATATTGTAAGAGCTTTCATTGTCTGCTTATATGTCCCCTTTATTTATCCTACGGTTCTGACTTGGTGTACAGGGAGAATACTCTAAGAACGGCCCATGTACTGAATTCTGTCGCTGTACATTTCAAAATTGCTGAACAAATAGTTATATTGACTACATCCGTCCTAGCTCGCTCATTAATGTCTTAATGGAAATTACGTATTGCCTCTTATCCGCTCATCGTTCCCTTATGCCATAGTTTGTACATCTCAAATTGTCTTTAGAAACCACATTTGGTTAAGCAAGTCAGCCATATCAGCTATGTTTTAAAAAAAGGCAGTAAATGAGGCTGAATGAACTGTTTCGCTGCCAAACATGGCTTCGCTGATAGCCAGGTGTAGCGGTGGTAAGGATTCACTCCATGGTGCTGAAAAGAAAGCTCTGCTGTTGGGACAGCTTTATGTAGGCCCTAACAGTTTGTGGGCACTGTTTGTCACGTTATAGTGCAATTAATGTATTGTTAGTGTTGTGTTGTGTAGTTGCATGCATCTAACAATTGTACATTTTTTTGCCCCACCAAGATGTACATGCTAAAATCGCCACTGTTAGAGATAGACAACATTTAGAGACAGAATACAGACAGCAGAGTTTAAAAAGTTTCCACACATTATATACAACTAGGCAGAGTGAGCATAGAGCTATAAGAGAATGAACAGATATACAAATATACAGTGGGTATACGGTTGATATACAGTGGGTATACGGTTGATATACAGTGGGTATACGGTTGATATACAGTGGGTATACGGTTGATATACAGTGGGTATACGGTTGATATACAGTGGGTATACGGTTGATATACAGTGGGTATACAGTTGATATACAGTGGGTGTA